CTGAGCTAAATCCCCAGCCCAAGATTACTTTGTGACTGCTGGGGATTTAGCTTAGTGGTGCCGCTGCCTGCCTCCCTAGCGCAAGGTCCCAATCTTGATCCCCAGTAACAAAAATAAAAAAAAAGATTACTCTGTGAGCTGTGAGAACAGATTACGCAGGGGCATAGACAAAAATGGAGAGATTGGTTAGGACATTCTTGTGAGATAAGGGTGAATTAATTATCCAATATGGTGATCACAGAGGCAATAAGAAGTACTCAGATTCTGGATACAGATTTTTTTTTTTCTTGGATACTGGGGATGGAACTCAGGACCTTGCACTTGTCAGACAGGCACACTGCCACTGAGCTACATCCTCAGCCCTCGAATTTGCTACTTAACATCCATAATCTTGCCAGGTGTGGTAGCACATACCCATAATCCCAGCATTTGGGAGGCTGAGGTAGGAGGATTACTACAAATTCAAGACCAGCCTAGGTTACTAGGAATACATGGTGAGACCCTGTCTCTAAAAACAAAGTAAAAAATAAAAACAAAAAATATATATATAATCTGTGAAAAATATAGTTCTGTTAAAGTTGGACATTCTGTCTGGAGTCACTAATTTAGTATTTATTTCCCATTATTATTATTTTTGTTATTGTTGTTTGAGACAGGATCTCTCTGCATAGTTCAGGCTGGACTTGAACTCACAATGTAGCCCAGGCTGGTCTCAAATTTGCAATGATTCTCTTGCCTCAGCCCCCCAAGTCCTGGGCTTACAGGTGTGCATCACCATGCCTCGTTTAGAATTATTATTTTCAGTGCTGGAGTGTTTAGTTGAGATTAAAGCTATGGCCTTACACTTCCTAGGCAAGTACTGTATCACTGACATACACCTCTAGCCCTCCCCAAATATTTTAACTTCTTTTTTGTTGTTACGGGTATGGAACTCAGGACTGTGCACTTGCCATGCAGATATGGTGCCCCTGAGCTACATCCCTGGCCCTCCCCCGGTTATTTTATTTTATTTATTTATTATTTGGGGGGGTGTTTTGAGACAAGGTCTCACTATGTAGTTGAGACTGACCTGGAATTCACTATGTAGCCCAGGCTGGTCTTGAACTCACAGCAATCCTCCTGCCTCAGCCTCCCGAGTACTGGGATTACAGGCATGTGCCACCATGCCTGGTGCCCCTGGTTATTTTAAATGGAAAAAAAGTATAATGCTTTTCTCATCAGATCCTACGTCCCACTTTTCTAAAATTCAAGGAAAATATATATCTATTATATGCTTAATATATTATAGTATTAGGATATAAAGTGTTTAAGCACTCCCTGCTTCCTTCACTCCCATCTTTCCAGTGCCAAGGATCAAGCCCAGGGCTTCATGCGTGTGAAGTAAGTGCTCTGCCACTGAGCCACACTCATAGCCTGCTGGGCTTTGATGCAGTTATCGTGAGCTCTTTTAGTATTAGCAACAGCCATGATATAAGTAAGCCTCCTTCGTTGACCCTTAATGATTTTATATCAATTCTATTTGGAATGTAACTTGAGACTGAATGCACACTGCTTTGTTAAAAGTGTAGATCAGGTTTTATTATGTAAATGTAGATTTTTTTTTTCCTATATAAATAATATGCTGAATTAACTTGGTAAAAATGATTCCAAAACACAGTTTAAAACAGTCACATATTGTAACTCTGAATTTGGGAACAGCTTAGCTAGGTGGTTCATGCACAGGGTCTCTTATGAGGCTACAGTCATCTAAAGGCTTGACTAGGCCTGGAAGATTTTCAAATTCAAAAAATACAAAAAGAGAAAAACAGAGCTCAAACATGAAGAAAAGCCCATTGACTGTATCTCACTTATTTATCTGCAAGCATTAAAAAAAGAATTAACACAAAACGTTGATAGAATGTGGAGTGAAGGATATCAGGGTATAGAATTGCTTCAGTTTCCATATCAGTGCTTCCTTCCTGTAGTAACTTTAAGTAAGTAAGTAAGTAACTCTCAGTGTCCATTCTTTCATCTACAGAGCTAGTCTGATTTACTCATAAAAGACTGCCCAGGATTACATAGCATAACTCACATACTTCTTAGGGTACTGCCCTGACAGTAAGTGTTGGCTTCTATTAACAGTTTGTTAAAAATTTTTGCATTTCATGTACTTTTTTTTTTGAGATAGGTTTTGCTGTGTTATTCAGGCTGGCCTCAAACTCACTATGTAGTCCAGGCTGGCCTTGAACTCACAGCGATCTTCCTGCCTCCATTTCCTAAGTGCTGTGATTACAGGCATATACCACCCACCTGGTTTATATACATTTTCTTTCTTTCTTTCTTTCTTTCGGGACCTTGTGCTTGCAAGGCAGGCGGTGGCACCACTGAGCTAAAGCCCATGGTTTATATACATTTCTAGAAGACCGAGTATGTACTTTATTTGTCAGATTAAAATAAAATACAACAGTATGGTGGTGGGCACCTATAATCCCAGTACTTGAGAGGCTCTGAGGCAGGAAGATCGCTGCTAGTTCAAGGCCAGGCTGAGCTATATAGAACCTATCTCAAAAAAACTGGGAACAGCCAGGTATTTAGCTCAGTGGTGCCACCACTTGCCTCACAAGCTCAAGCAAGCTCAAGGTCCTGAGTTCAATCCCCATATTGGGGAAAAAAACCAAAAAAGATTGAAGCCTAGCCTGGGCAATTTAGTAAGTATCTCAAAATAAATGAAATAAGCCAGGGATTTAGCTCAGTGGTTCTGCTGCCTGCCTTGCAAGAGCAAGGTCCCAAGTTCAGTCCTGGGTACCAAAAAAAAAGAAAAAAAAGAAATGAAATTTAAAAAATAAATAAAATAATAAAAGACTGAGGATATAATGAAAATGCACAACATTATGAAGGCCCTGGGTTCAATCTTCAGTACAAAACAAAAGACTAGAAGGAAAAACACTGAAGTAGGCACATTGAAAGATCACCATACAAGTAAGATGCTGCTCACTCTTTTATTGATTGATTGATTGATTGATTGGTACCGGGGATGGAACTCGGGTCCTTGCACTTGCAAAGCAGGCAGCATTGATCTTTCTTTTTTTTTTTATTCTTCTTTGTGCTTTTCTGTGTTTTCCAAGTTTTCTGCAACAAATATATCTTCCTTTTGTAATCAGAAGAGAAAACATGTTTATTTGTTTGTTTCGGTGGTACTGGGGATTGGACCGAGTGCCTTCACACTGAGCACATTTAAAATTTTTTATTATGTATTTTTAAAATTAATTAATTAATTTAGAGACAGGATCTTACTATGCAGTTCAGGCTGACCTTGAACCCACTATGTAGCCAAGGCTAGCCTCAAACTTGCAGTGATCTTCCTGCCTCAGCCTTCTGAGTGCTGGGATCACAGGCTTGTGCCACCATGCCCAGCTCATTTATTTATTTATACAGACAGAGTCTCACTAAGTTGCCCAGCCTGGACTCTTAATTTGGAGAGGTTAACTTTTTTTTTGGTACCAGAAATTGAACTCAGGACTTTGTTCTTGCCAGGCAGGCCCAGCCCAAGGCTGGGCTTGAATTTGTAATCTTCCTGTGTCAGCCTCCCAGAGTGCTGGTGTTATGGGTATGCACCACCGTGCCTGGCTAATACTTATATTTTAGAAAGGAATACTCATAACCCACTCCCCAGGATTTCAATTAATAGGGTCCTAGTAAGGATACTTTCCTGTACTCTCTAATGGTAATGATACCACTGACTCTACTGGTTGCACTTTCCCTTTGCCTTCTATGATGCTTTGGTTTACCCCCACAGGAGAGCCCAAAGCATGGCTGCTGATGTGCAGAGGAAGAGAAGCAGTGACTGCCCTGATGGCACATTGGCTCCTTCTGATGGACTGAGTGTGGAGAGAGCTGAGAGCCCCACGCCAGCACTGGCCCAGGGGATGGAGCCAGGTACGGGCAGATTGTGAAACCCCAGCCAGTTGATAGCTGGGACTGGGATTCCCAAACACTCTCCCTGTTCCACTTGCTCATGCATTTGTTCTGTCACTCATTGGATATTATCAAGTGCTAGCATTGCTGGGTTTGGACTACATCTGGCCATCCACTCCATTTCCTGTTATTCTGCTTAACCTGTGTTCCCTGGCTCCTCCTGTTCTAGTATCTATAGGCACCTCCCTGGCTCCTTTTCCCCTTCTCAGGTCTCAGGTCAAATGTTACTACCTCACAGAGTGGGCCTGCTCTGACTGAATTCTGTTTTAAGACATTAGTTATTTTGTGATTATTTATATCTGTATTGTCAGTCTTTTTCTTTCACAAGATTGTGAGCTATTTGCATACATAGCAATCATATCCCTGTGCCTGGTATGGTGCTGAAATTATAATAGAGACTCAAAATATATCTGTTTAAACATTTGGTCAAAAATAATCAGTAGCCGGGCGTGGCGGCTCACACCTGTAATCCCAGCACTGGGGAGGCTGAGGCAGGAGAATCACTGTGAGTTCGAGACCAGCCTGGGCTACATAGTGAGTTCCAGGTCAGTCTCAACTACATAGTGAGACCCTGACTCAAAAAACAAGAAAAACAAAAATCAGTACAGGACTAGGGATTTAGCTCAGTGGTTCTGGTGCCTGCTCCACAAGCACAAGGACCCGAGTTCAATCCCCAGTACCAAAAAACAAAATAATAATAACAACAATAATAATAATAATCAGTAAAGGAACCAGACACAGTGGCACACACCTATTCTCCCCACTACTCAGAAGGCTGAGGCTGGACAATCACAAGTTTAAGGCCAACTTGGAAAACTTACACCCTATCTCAAAATGAAAAAAAAATTTTTTTTTTTTTGTTTTTTTTGTTTTTTTTGAGACAGGGTCTCACTATGTAGTTGAGACTGACTTGGAACTCACTATGCAACCTAGGCTGGTCTTGAACTCATGGTGATCTTCCTGCCTCAGCCTCCGGAGTGCTGGGATTACAGGCATGTGCCACCATGCTCAGCGAAAAATATTTTCAAAGGGTTAGGGATGTGTACAGTGGTAGAGCACTTGCCCAATATGCACAAGGCCCTGGGTCTAATCCACAGTACCACAAATGAGAAAAGAAAAGAGACAAAAGAAAAGAAAAGAAGTGACGGGCCTGGGGATGTAGTTCAGTGGTATATTGCTTATGTAGCACACTCAAAGTCCTGGGTCCATCCCTGTCCCAGGAGAGCCACAGGCTAGCGGAGTCTGTGAGGGGCTCCTGGGTGAGTAGGAGAGAGAGAGAGATTCATCAAGTATGGGTAGGGCTTCAGGCATGGGAAGAGGTGGTGGACACATAGCACACTGTTCTTGAGAATTACCATTGTACTTGGGGAGACAGACAATAGATTGCAAGCTTTCCAAAGGATATTGAGAGAGAGAGATGATTGAGTGTCTGCGTTTGCAGTCAGGTAAAGAGGTAACATCTTCCCCAAGGACTGAAGTATGATAAGCAGCCAGCCATGTGGGAAGGTAGGAGTCCCTTCCAGGCAAACAACAGGTACAGAGCTCCTGAGGTAAGTTGGGGTGTGTTAAGGGTGTCCAAAGAGCACATGGACAAAGGCCGGTGTGACTGGTATAGGCAAAGGATGGGCAAGGGAACAGACTGCAAGGTGAGTATGAGAGAGGTAGGCAGATACCAGCTGCCTTTACTGGTGCGAGGGCTGGATCTTATTCACAGTATGATGGGAGAAGACAGATCTGCTGTAAATTGCAGGCACTCCGTGCAGTCAGTGGCTGGAAGGAACAGTATCTTGGCCCGGCAGGGCAGGCAGTCATGCTAGAGTGGTCACATTAGGCACTCTGCTGTGAAAAGAGTATCTGCCAGCAGCTACCCTTCTAAGCACCAGTGCTTTTGGCTTGCAGGTGCCGGGCAGGAGGGTGCCATGTTCGTCCATGCTCGTTCCTATGAAGACCTAACTGAGCCAGAGGATGGGCCAGCTTCTGGAGACAACCCCAAGGAGGGTTCTGGGAGTCACCCACCACTGCCTTCCGACATGCGCCAGATCAGCCAGGACTTCAGTGAGCTAAGTACCCAGCTGACAGGTGTGGCCCGTGACCTTCAGGAGGAAATGCTACCTGGAAGCTCTGAGGACTGGCCTGGGCCCCCTGGGGCAGCCAGTGGGCCAGCTATAGAACCCCCAGGGGAGGGCACGGAGGAGGGGGACGAGAAGGACCCCACAGAGGCGTGGCGCCTGCACCAGAAGCACGTCTTTGTGCTGAGCGAGGCAGGGAAGCCTGTATATTCCCGTCATGGCTCTGAAGAAGCACTTTCCAGCACTATGGGCGTCATGGTGGCCCTGGTTTCCTTCCTGGAGGCAGAAAAGAATGCCATCCGTTCCATCCATGCAGGTGAGCCACCAGAAGAGGGCGGCAGAGAGAGCTCCACTGGCCAGGTTATTTCAGGGCAGGTTTTCAGGACCTCCCCCACCCCCAGGCCAGATGATAGGATGTACAGTGTGAGAAAATCAGTCCCTCACCTCTTTGACCCTCAACACAGGACAACACTGCCAGGCAGCCTCATGGGGATGTGGTGGGGCTAAAGGAGGCTTTGATGTGAGCTCTGCTATTAGAAGTGGTGAGATTGCCTGGGGAGGTGCCCAAAAAACAAAAACCAAATTGGTCCCTAGGTCTATCCAGCCCTTGCCAGCAGAGTTACCACACATAAGAATGTGTGTGGGATTTTTTTTTTTTTTTTTTTTTTTTTTTTT